CATCAGAAATATTCATTACTGCGGATAGTCAAAACAAGGGATGAATGTAAGCAGTGCAGTCACATGTGAAATATGGTGGTGAACTATGAATTTTAGTGCTAAACATTTTTGCTTAGTTATAATGAATAATGTCTGTTACATCACTTGTTTTGTGTTGCCATTAAGTTGAATAACATGAACATCAGATATTTAGTGCTTCTCGTTTACTTCAGACAAAAGTAGGGATGAGCTTTTTAAAAATATTTTATGTAATAGTTAATGTTAGTGGTCTTCACTCCTGTTCTAGGAGAGCTGCAGGGTACACTGGTTTCTGTTGTTACCAATTTACACAACCAACCCACCTCACCTGAATTCTTTTTCCAAACTTGTCAAAACAAAAACCAACATATATCGTGACTCTCCAGGACCTGGAGTGACCAAAATAAACCTCAGTGTCTTAGCAAAAATCTTCTGTTATCATGGTGCATAGCTACTTAATTGCCATCAGTCTAAAGGGTCAAGTTTCATTAGTTTACACAAGCACTAAATACAGCTTGTTCTCTTGCTAGTGCTTTTATAAGGCCACACTTCCCAGGCAGTATGGCTCTGAAAGGAAAAAAACAGCCCCACTAGTCAGTCCTGTCAGAAACATGAAGCAAAACCTATTATTTAATCCAGCAATTGTGCAAATGAGCATGGATGTGCATGTATGAACAGCAAATTAATCTGACTGCTTTAGTGACCCCACAGCCAGCAGTGGACAATTTACAACAGCTACTTACCAAGACCTCCGACCAGGTTTATTCAGTACGACACACAAATCAGTAAAAGGTAAGTAAGGTGGTTATCTTCAGGTTTTATGAATTAGAAAATATAGCAATTATTTTATAAAATGATATGTCTTGGACAGCTAGCTTGTTAGTAAGAAAGCACCATGTGAACCTGACAAGTCAAGTTATGTGCAGACAAGCACAAACTGCTGCTTCAAGCATTGTACAGACTCTCCTGTGTGCAGGGAGGAAAAGACTATAAATGGGCACTGAAAATTATGCATTTATGACTGATTGATTTGTGTTATTTTTTAAGCATCACAGAGACTAACTCTTGTCATCAAAAAGAAAACAGTAAGATAATAACTTTATTTGAGAAAAGCACTTTCCAAAAACAGCAAGCAATCATGGTTTTCATGACTGTAACCAATGAATCACATTGCAGCTCTTAATTCAATTCAAATACCAAGTCACCACAAGTGCCAATAATGTGTTAATCCATAAGGCGATATTTTTTGTCTGATTTAATTCCTTCAGAAATTCAAAGAAACTTTACTGTAGCCTATATGGACTTTGACAGAGGTGTACAGTAGATTTTGGAATAAAAGTCTTGTTAAATGTATGTCTTTGCCACAGAACAAGTGAGACACAGTTATGAAATATGATTTTCTTTTACCATTGGATGTAAAACCATGAGTGTATATTTGACTCAGAATTGTCATGGTAACTGAGCTATCGCTTGACTGGATTGGCCAGAAGTGTATGCTGAGAAAGGTAGAAAGGGAGAAAAAACAAAGGACATTAGTGGGTTGTGTGCTGTTGAAGAGGTCTCTACAGTAGTACAGTAAAAGTCTACCTTTGCTACATTATTTCAAGGAATAATGCATTGATGCAGTTGATAAAATCAATAAATGTGCCATTATCCCCCAGACTAGAATATCCAGTCCTAACTGTAAAGCCCTCTGATAGCATGCAACATCCCCAGTCAGTGTGGGAGATGGTGGACAAGCATCTGCACCCTCCATTAGTATGTGCAAACAGCTGCCGTTTCTGTTCCAATACATCATGCATCACTTCTGCCTCTTAAAACACCAGATTTGGAGGCTGGCAACTGAGGAACAGTGTTAGTAGAGTGTTTGTGCTGAAAGATGAAGTTGTTGGTTGAATGCACTTTAACCAGCTTTAAAACACAAGCCAAATGCTTACTGGTGTTTAGGAACACCAACTTTGTCAAATGGCAGTGAAAGCTGTGGCTCTCAATAAAGGTTAAAGTGATTATACAATATGCATTTCTCCAAAACATGGATTGCCAAGGATTTAAACATTCATTTAAACATACTTCTGAGGTATAACATACAGTTCTGATGTATGACATCTGTCAACATGAATACTATTGTACGTATCTCACCACATATTCAAATGCTATAGCAGTGACAGCTGGTGACCTGAAAACAGGTTAGGAACAAACTTTACCTTTAATCCTGGCATTACTGTCTATGTGTTCCCATTTGTCCTCCTCAAACAGTAATAAAAAACAATTCACAGAATAATCATTGCAAACAGCAAACATTATCGCATACATAATTGTGTAATATTATTATTTATCTTGACTGACCTGTGTAGCATTTGTTATATCAACACATTATTGTGATTTGTGGATAAGTGTACTAACAATATATCTGTAATGATGGTGAATAGGTTGAAAGTAATGGTAGGTTTAAAGTTAAGGTTTATTCCTCCTGTTTCCAGCTTGTGGTAAATGTATAAATCTATTCACTTATATGAGTTTACATGAAACTCCAAAATGAAGTTTTTATTCAATTAAATTGTTCAACAAACCCTCATTTTCAATGTAAGTTCCAGAATTTTTTTTCAAATTTCTGTTCTCTGATTAAACCATAGAGGCCTATAATGTTAGGGCAGACATGTTTCAAGAAAATTAGGCGATAAGTATTCAGATTAACAATCTCAAAAGTACAGAAAACCTCATTTGTATTTTAAGTTTAAAAATGCTCCCTGGGTAATATGTTAATTTTAAGTGTCCGATAAAGAACCGAAAAATATATTAATTACTCATGAATATGCAAATACTGAACATTTTTCCATGTATCTTTTCCATGTCTATCTATCTGCCCTCTGACAAAATTCTAGAAAAAAACACTTTGAACTTGTTGTTTCAAGTCCCTAGAGTTGGTGGCAGCTTAGTTCCAGTCACCAGTTCTGCAGTTTCAGAACACTTTATTTTGCCAGCATGGGGAACAGCATTGTTTGTGTAGCTGTCACAGGCAAACCACATGTCACGAGGCAATGCATGCTGGAACTCATTTCTACCCATGTCCCTTATTCAGCTGATGAAATTTTAATTTAAATATACATTGCAGTCTAATAAATGAAAACTCATCAAATCTTATCAAAATGACTAAATCAAATTCCAATTTCGTCTTTTTGCTGAGTCTGAAGAGACGATCTTCCCTCATAAGTTAAATTTCATACCTGGAACCAATTTCGTTTCCCTGAGAACCAGTGGAAGCTGGATAAGAGAACGTTCAGCCCCATACAATGTGCAATCTTCCCCGAGCACAGTATTTTAATATCAACAGTGGCATTGAGTAATTGAATCCAACTGAATGTATTATTCTTTGTGGTTGAGGTAATGGATATACAAGCCTTTGTATTTGGACCCACTTTCGCAACCTATCCGTACACAAATTAAAGTAATCTTTAAATCTGTGGACTCTGAAGGAGATGGGGTCCATACCACTATGGGGTACCTCTTTTTTTATACTTGAGGAAAGTAGTCTGGCTGTTTGGTAGCCATAATTATCTAACTGCATTAATGGGTCACAGAATTGCTAAATACATTGCAAGCATTTTAAATTATACTTGACAAGAGTGGGTTGTACATTATTTATTTGCTTTGCGGTGAAATATTTTGAGTAAATAAGTATAAAAAGCTCCCTTGTGTTTGATACTCAGAAGGGGTGTTTTTTTAAATCGGTGGCGGTTTCTAAATTGTTTGTGTGCCCATGTTTGTGTTTGTGTGTGTGTGTGTGTGTGTGTGTACAGCCACCCAGTAGAGGCTGATTTTTAAGATGTGCTCCATGTCCTACAAAAATATTTTGAAAATAAGCCCTTTTAGTTCTCCATATGCACAATGTTCAATCAGACTATAAACTGGTTAATATATTTACTGTGTACAAAAAGCCATACATTTTACATTCAAGGTACATGGGAATGAAGTACAGACCTCAGCTGACTGCAAACCTGATATCACACTACAGCAAAAATAACAGCACAGGCATTGAGTTGAGCAGAAAAAGAGCAGTAACTCAATCCCTTTGCAATTCCAAACCCATAGAATTTGCTGAGATCCAATCAAGCCCACAAATACTACTTTGTGCAGAACGCTACTCACTGAGTAGAGAGAGCTGCTTTCAGACCAAGGTTTGTGAGAGGAAGCACGTTCAGAGTTTGTATGAGAAGTACCTTTTATGTTTAAGCTCCCTGGAGTGACTTGAAAATTCTGCCCACCTCTCGCTTAAACCAATTAAGAACTCGGGTTTGGGGTTAAATTGGGATACCCTCTCTGGAAATTGTACTAACAGGACACCGAAGAAAAATGAAAACATTTTCATTAGCCTTTTACATACAGGTTGTGTACAGCCATGTCCCTTTGACCTTCATTCTTTCCAGGGAGCCAGTCCATTAGAACTAATAAATGAACTGAACTGAATACATTCATGGTCATTGCTTAAGGCAGCCAATAATAAGCATCCCTCTGTGAGCTGGTGGACAGTATGAATTTCTCAGTGGGGATTGTCCTGCGTTTTCATTGGCAGTGAAGTGCAGGCCAGTGGTTTGCAGCAGACTGAAACTACACTGAATCTGTGTTATTCATCTGCCATTTCTTTTCCATGCTCAGTTATGCAGAATAGATACAATTTAAAATTTAGAATAGATAACGGTCTGCAAAACCTTTTCTTCTCTGTGTGTTTTTATAAAATACAGTGTTTTGAAGCCCCAATTCAGGGGCTGTAAACCATAAAATTTAAAGTGGTGCAAAATTGAATTTTGTCAGAGAGAAGATATATGGTAAAACACTTCATGTGCATAATCATGAATAATGGCTGTTTTTGTCAAGGGCTTCATTGGACACTTTGAATTAACATAGTCCCCAACAAACAACAATATGCTAATGTGATTTTCTGTTGGGCTTGTTTTATAATATGGGTTTTTATCATATTTCCTAATGGCAGTCTAGTGGCTAAGCTGCATGACCAGGACCCCTGAGGTTCTGGGTTCAAGTCCCAGTCTAGCCACAGCAAGACTGGGGCTTGAATTGCTGTTGGGCTCTTGAGCAAGGCCCTTAACTCCACATTGCTCCCAAGGGGGACTGGCCCTTGGTTAGCCTAATCAATTGTAAGTTGCTTTGGATAAAACCACCAGCTAAATGATTGTAATGTTGTAGGACACTGAGGATGGAGGAGAGAATAGCATTATTTGTAAAGTTATATGACAAAACAAGGTTAATTAAGAGTTGCAACTATAATTACCTAAAATATACTGTGATGTATAGGCACAGATGGGGTGTTCCGAAACATTTTCTTTTTGTGTGGGTTCTATGTATTCACTCAATACTATGGATTCAGAGTACATCATAAAATCTAGTAAAAAGGAACAAGAGCAAATAAACATACATTTTTACAGGAATCCGAAAACAGAACCTTGAGTAAACGTCTGCTGCCAATTTCATCTTCAGAGATATAATGTGAGCACTGAATCAGAGAGGGTTGTGCGCTGGCTTTTGTTTCAGTCTGTGGAGGATGGTAGTCTCCCTGATCATCATTGATGTCCACTCTATTCTCATAGTGCAGGTAAACACCCCAACCCATCAATAATTCTCAACATAATAACCCAAGAGACTGAGGCTACTGTAAGAGAAGATCTCTGAAAGCCAAGAGTTTAATATTTCAACACCTCCTGCACTTTGTCATGATTGAAGTTATTCCTAAATTCCCTTTACAATCAGGTCAATGAACCTGGAAAAATAAGATGAAAAATGTAAACCAAAAGACATTTTGAAGGGCAGTAAATCCGAACAAGAGATTTTAGTGCTCTAGTTTAATAACAATCAAAGCATTAAAGTTGGATTATTTCAGAAATTTCAAAAACAAATCAACCAGCTCTGCACCTGAGCTAGCCAAACGTCTTGCACTACTGCACAATTCTTCCAAGATGGCTTCCACAAAGAAATGGTAGCCTGGGACTTCACACTTACAGACACAGAAGCCCTGCTTGAGGGACTGGAAACATGCATTATTACACAGCTCAGCGCTCAAATCATGGCAACTAAGACGGCTCTGTTCAAAATGAATTATCCATGACATGGAGGTCTCTTTAACCTCAATGATAAAGGGCTGTCCTCCCTAAAGAAGACAGGTACAATTCTCTTTGGCAGATTTCCTTGAGAGGAAACAATACTAGTATCAGAAAGGTGTCAGAGGGTTTGGAGAGAAATCTCTTTTTCCTTTTTTGACAGTGATTTTTGACAAAGACATTACACTGAAGCTCCTCGTGAAAGACAGAGTGTACCAGATAGATGTTCTAGCTTCCAGTGTCTAAGGACATCCCCTAAGTTCACCTATCTCCTGGCTGCTTTTGTGTCAGACTAAGAGGAAGAAGATTCAACAGTTGGCCCAAAAGAAAGGTCCCCTGATGACATTCTGTGGTTCAAGAGTTTTCATCCTCCCCAGCCGCAGTGTGGGTCTGAGAAGGAAAATTCTTTTATTCAAAGCTGTGAAGGTCAAGTGGAAAAATCAGGGGAGATTGATGTTTCCATCTAAGCTCAGGATTACCAAGGACAGAACTTTGCACATGTTTAAGGACCACGTGACAGCGGAGAGGTTCGCAGAAAGGCTGCAGCATGGCATATTCGAAGACACAAGCTGTGGCTTATTCGGAAGGTGGGACATTTTTTCATTATTTCAGTGACTTCTCAAACCCCACCAGTTCTCTTTTTGATGATGAGTGAGTAAGCATGTGTGAGCTAGCAAAGACAAATCTGCTCTTGCTTGTTTCTGCCTGCCCAAGCTTCTCTTAAAGCAAGGTACATCATACATCTGCAGTTGTTTTATTTTGGTTTTTTTCTCCTGGATCCTGGATGAACTATGCAATTTATTGTCCATGTTCAAATAGCCTGAATTGGAGACACTGAAAATGTATTGCGTTAGTAAGCACAGTCAGGGGCATCATGCACCCATTTTTGAGGGGGGCATACACACAAAACAGATCCCTACAAATCATGCCAATGTTGAACCGATCCAAATCCAGATGGTAAATGAAAACATAGTAAAGAATGATGAATACCAATTGAGCTTTATTTTACCAAATCTGAACAATTAGATGGAACACACTAAGGCAAATCATTAATAATAAGGCAACATAAAGCAAACAGATATTTGCTTGTAAAATTGGAAAGTTACCACAGGGCATAAGTTAAAATTCTGAAATGAACATAGTTTGTTTCGAGTTGGCTAAAAACCTGCTGCCCCAACACTGTAGATGTTTACTGGTGTAACTTACCTGTTTTGTTTTTGGGAAGGTGTTACATTCACACACAAATTCATTTCCATTCACTGCTCAAAAAACAAAATGTGAACAAAATGTGAAGTGGCTAATGTCACAGACTGGTTGAGAGGTAGAAGACACTTGCAGGCTCATGAGTAATGACTACCATCTCAGTTCCAGAGTTCATTTTTATCAAAGTGGAAACAGAGTTACCTTTCCAGTAAGCAAGAAAACAGGATTTATAGCTTGCTGGTTACAACCTCACTTTTGTGCTAACTCATAACACACTAACAGACTGTTCATTTTACCACCGCATCAACAAAAAAGCAAATTAACTTCAAATAACTACAAATTATTCATGTCAATGTTGTCAGTTAATTAAGTTACACATGAGTGATTTGTATATTTCAGCTAGGTGTATGTGTGAGTTACTTACTACATTTGAAGTGGCTGTAGATGCTGTTATCCAGAATTTGTAGGGTTACCAACAATTCTGAGACAAAATGACTTTCAAAACTGCTTAGAGGTGTGCCACCATTAGTTACAACTGTATATATATGAAAATAATTATCTTGTAACCATGTTATTTAGTAAAAAAAGAAAACATGTGCTGTGGTTGAAGTGTTTAGCAAAGTCCTGTGTTCACACCTTTAATGAAAGAAATCATATCCAAAAGTCAGATAATACCAAGCACTTTAAATTTAGCATTTGCCTTGTCTGAAAGCACCTCTAGTATAACTATAGCTCATATTATTTTGAAAGGGAGAAAGAGGCAGAGATGGAGATAGAGGAGTTTTTCATCTCTTGTCCTCAGTGCAAATTCACAAGGGGTCAAAGGCACAACTCCACCAGAGAGAAAGCACCACACTCATCTCACCATTGTTGCTGCTTTGTCAGTGTCTCTTGCACTAAGCAACATCCTGACATATTAAAGTGGAGGACCCCTAATATCACCTTTATTTTTTAGTTGTTTTTTTTTATTATTATTATTTAATGACCCTTCAGCTTCCTTAGCTCTCCAGTTTGTGTGTGGTCATGTTTCAATGTGTGTCTCTATGTTTGTGTTTGTGTATGTGTCTAAAAAATGGAAACCAATTCATTACTCTATCATATTCCTTTCCCCCTCTGTTTACTTTAGCTAATGTCCTGACAATTTTAAATGACATATGCCTACAACATACCATTGTTGTGTTGCGATTTAAAATGTTACATACATTTTACATTTCTTGTTGCTACACAACCTTGAACGCTTGTAATGAAAATGTGCTGCAGGTAAGCAGATGTGGGCTTAGTTAACACTGGGATGGAAGAACCAAAAGTGTTGGTGAGCCAACAGGGGGTACTCTTGCCTCTGGACCAAAGAGAACTTCACTTCCTCAGCACAATTATGGCTGCCCTCTGTGAGGAAGGTGTCTGACTTGCAGTGGTCATTTAAGATCCCATGGTATCATTTGAAAGAAAAGAGGTGCGAACTCCAGTGTCCAGATCAAAGTCCCATTCAAACTAGGAATCTAGATTTGTCAAACTAAACAGTCCCTATGTACATTTATTCCCCAGGTGGCTACTGCAAAAGACAATTCAGTTGAGTTGAGTTCTCAACTGACCTAACCTGTTTAGATAAAGGTCATAAAACTATTCCCCGTGAGAAGAACCTCACTGGCCTGAGAGCAGTGGTATAACCTTTAGACGACACATTATACACTGATGGCATTTGTTCTTGTTCCAGTTTCTGACTTTAAGCATCACTGGACAATATCATGAGAGCGGTGTCTAAGCAAAGATACAGTTTGCAGTCCTGCTAAAGTATTAGCTTTTACACAAAACTGTCATGCACTCAAGCGACTGTAAGCCAGTACAGGGTTGCCTTGTAACAGCACCACACCATTGCACAAACATAATAATCAAAAAGGTAAATACAAGAATAAATGTACTGAGGCCCAAACGTTAATCATGCACAAGAACATTTTACGAATTGGTCAAGGAAGCACTGCATGTATGCTGATTTGTTTCATAAATTCACAAATTCAATTTGAAATGTGACCCAAATGTAATATTTATTCACCATTTCTTGGCCATCAGTTCTACCAGGAAAGAAATGTCCTGCTGATGGTGTACATTTGCACACATAACGATAATCCCTGTTTCTCTCAGCTTTGTTATGAACTGCTAATTAACTTGCTTTTACCAGCCTGAATTGTAATGAGTTGTGTAATTGTTCAAGTACCAAACAACAATGAAGCAATCCAACAAGCAATTTCTTTTAGTTTTCCTAAAAATACCCTACTAAAATTAGGAAGCAAAGGTAAACAAAAATTAACCGAGAAACAGCACTGTAAACATAACAATTATGCTCATAATTTAAGGTGCTCTTCTTAACATTAAATAATCTACAACTGGAGCATCATCTTACATGGATAACCAGTGAGAGGATGACATTTTTAAACCTCTACAGTGGCCTGTTTGCCAATGTCATATACATTTTTTTAACAGTAATGGTTAATATTTATGGTTCAAAAGCATTTAACATGCAACACATACATCCCATATCAGCATAGAAAGATAGAAAAATATTATCCAATGTATAAGATACAATCAGAAACATGATTTCCATCTGATAAATATGAACAGATTTATGTTAGCTTTCGGATACTTTTAACTGACATAGCCGGTAAGCCTGCCAGCAGGTCAGCTAACATTGCTTGTTAGCCTACTGCTAGGCTATCAAACAGAAGAACAGTAACTTACACTTGAC